CACTGCAAGCGCAGGGACGATGAAGCCGCAGACGCAGCTCCTCCTCCTCTTAGCCTACATCGCCGCGGCGCTGGTCATGAGCCGCGGCGTCCTCGCCGGCGCCGGCACCAGCGCGATGCCGGTGCGCACCATCGAGGACGACGAAGTGGGCTTCGCAGAGGGTGAGGAGGAGGCGGCATACCCACAGAGGAGGGTGCTTGCTTACAGCCCCACTTCCATCGGCTACGGAGGGCTGGAGGCGAACAAGGCGGCGTGCTACGGCTCCTGCCCCGGCCGGGGGCAGCCCTACACCGGCCGCGGCTGCAAGGCCATCTTCGGCTGCCGCGGGCGTTGATTATCTCATCTCATCTGGAAGGTACTGCCATTCCTGTTTGCTTCATGGCAGGAACAAGTGCCCTTCTTCCACTGACCCAGAAAGCTGTGGGGAGATAAAAAAAAAGTGGTTACTGTGTAAGCTCAAGTAGTTTCACATGCATGTATCTGTGTTCTTGTATGTAATCTTTGGTTCCTTGTGTGTACAATAATGTGTGTTTGGATGAATTCAAGCATACATACGATTCAGATAAATGGTTTGCGTTATAAGTTTCCAGGAAGAAAGGAATAAACAGCTGAAACAAGAGGAAAATGTTAGTGGGATATGATTGACTAGTCAAAAGGAGACTAAAGATGTAATCTGCTCGGCTTCTAAAACTGACTCATCCTGTACTAATATTAGCCAATGGCTAGCCATTCAAACGCCATGTGCGTGAGTTCATGTTTCTCTTTTGTGAAATTCCGTGAGTTCATGTTATTTTGATAATTCTTGTACACTTCATAAACATAATGCTAGATAATTTTAACACCACACAAGCAAACTCGATAAAATTATACTACGTGCTAGTGAGCTGACCACAATCCCGATCATCTCCCTGTACGTGGATGACGTCATCATCTTCTGCCACCCCTCGGCTGGCGACACGCTCGATGTCCGCGAGATCCTGCAGCTCTTTGGCCGAGCATCAGGCCTATGGGTCAATTCCCAGAAGAGCACCGCCACTGCGATCCGATGCGATGACGAGGAGGTCGGCCTGGCCGTTGCGGCCCTGGGTTGCCCGCTCGCAGAATTCCCAATCACCTACCTGGGAATCCCCCTCACCCTCCGACGCCCGACCGCCGCCCAGCTCCAACCCCTCGTTGACAAAACCGTCGGGAAGCTGGCCACCTGGAAAGCCCACCTCATGAACAAAGCCGGACGTCTCGCCTTTGTCAAAGCTGTGCGAAGCGCGATCCCCATACACCAGCTCCTGGTGCTCGCGCCCCCAAAGAAATCATCAAGCTCCTGGAGAAAATTCAGCGAGGATTCCTATGGGCTGGCCGCACTGAAGCACACGGTGGCAACTACCATGTTAATTGGCGACGGGTCTGCTGCCCAACCCGCCTTGGCGGCCTCGGTATACATGACCTGGAGCGCACTGGCTTGGCCTTGCGCACCAGATGGCTATGGCTTGCCCGCACCGATGACAACAGAGCTTGGACTGGCCTCGATCTGCAGTTCACAAGCAAGGAACGAGCCTTCTTCTTCGCATCCACCACCATGATCATTGGCAATGGCCAGCGCGCGTTGTTGGGAGGACCGCTGGCTCAATGGGCGCTCCATCTCGGAGATCGCACCCCAACTGTACACCACCATCCCCAAACACTGCCGCAAAAACAGAACGGTGGCGGCCTACAGGCGCACCGATGGGCTTCAAACATCCAGGGCATCCTTGGCATTCAAGAGATTGGTCAGTACTTGCTAACCTGGCCCATCAGCCTCTCCTCCGAGCCAGACCGCCTGCAATGAAAGTGGAACGCGGCAGGAACATACACAGCGCAGTCTGCCTACCTTGCCACTTTCCAAGGCTCGACCCACTGCCCCGCATGAAAGCTCACATGGAAGAGCTGGGCCCTCCGCGTGTGAAGTTCTTTCACTGGCTCGCTAACCTGGGACGCTGCTGGACAGCCGACCGCCTTGCCCACCGTGGACTGCCGCACCCTGCCCACTGCCCACTTTGTGATCAAGCGCCGGAATCGCTCCATCACCTGTTCCTGGCATGCCCCTTCTCCAAGCTGGTATGGCACGAAATCCTTTCCTGGCTGCGCCTTACGTACAACGCGCCAGATGGCGAGGACTCCCTGACCAGATGGTGGCGCACGGCACGACAGACCACGCCCAAGCCGATGCAAAAAGGCCTCTCCACCGCGACGCTGCTGATCCCTTGGATGACCTGGAAGCATCGCAACAAATGCGTCTTCGACGCAGCAACCCCATCGCCAAACACTCTGATCGAGGATCAAGGATGAAGCTGTGCTTTGGGCGAGCGCAGGCGCACGAGGACTGCGTGACATCCTCCCACCAACGTGGGACGTCCACTGATTTCTCTCATTTTGCCTGTAACCCTACCTCTTAGGAGGTTGTAACAAACTCTCTTCCTTTTCAATACAATGAAACACAAAAGTCTTTTGCGTTTCCTCAAAAAAAAAACGATTAGAAAGTAACAGGCAGTGATTCAAGTATCAAAATGGCAAAATTGTTTAGATATACTCATTCACAAGAGATCTGCATAAAAGCTAGCTAGGAGTGCAGATTGGCCTGGTGCGACTTTTTCTCAACATATAAAAAGAAAGGAAAAGAACACTTTGTATTTTGAGGATAGGACGTCAGTTTAATGCATCAAGACATCTAAATCATCAGGGTAAGAAGCAGAATAATCACAGGATACGTATTGCGGCAATCTCAATGTTACAACAATTATCTTAGGATGGGCATACACACAAAAGGATGTTTTTGCAGGAAACAGTAGAATTGCAATATTTTGGAAGCACCTCGTCCTTTTTTACCTTTGTGGGGTGCTTCCCTTTGACCGATGTTTTTGCTCTTTCTCCAGTAAACTCGCCAGCCTTTGACCGATAGTTCTGTTCTCCTTGAATAAGAATAGCGACTTAAACCTTGAATGAGAAATGCAAGGAACTTCAGGCCATCAGTACTACGTACATCAGTGCAGCAGAAACTGAAGTTCACTGAGAAGATGATAAGTTGTGGGTGGAAGACAAGGCTGCATGGACAAGAGTGCTTCAATAACATCTTGCCTCCTCTGCTGTGTTTCTACTGGGTACTGGCCTTCAGTATCTCCTTGTCCCTCTGCATAGCTTGCAATTCATTATTCAGAGCAGTAAGCTGCACATGGAGAATAGCACAGGTAAGATGAATGTTGGAGGATCAGATTAAACAGCACAACATAAATAGGTGGACAACCACTGCATTAGTAATTTCAAACACTCACGACACGAGCATATATAAGCTGGGAACTAGGTGAGTAGACGAGGACAAAAAGGTTTCTTGCAAACAGAATGTTCAATGAATCTTATATAATACTGACGCAAACCTACACATGCCAATAGAACTGATAGACCTCAGGATGGTGATGAGCCGTAGGGTGAGCGCGCGAGGCTGAATCGGTGAATCAATGCCGACATGCATGGACGTGGGATGGCACTGCGGGTAAATGACAAGAAAAACTCACCCTTGAGAATATTACAGACGCCACCTCAGAATTTTTACATTCAATCCTAACCATCCGCGACGCTATCGAACGGCCCAAAGCCACAAAGCCCAGAAAGCCAGCCTTACCAGGCATGAACTAAATCTTTAAATGATATGCTAATGTATCTTGAGGTTACAACTAGGCACCACTGCAAGGATCTAAAAGATGTGATAAGTTTGTGGAGAAGTTAAGTTGAACAGAGATGCCGAAAAGAAGAGCAAATCATACACAATGGTATTGGTACATCACTATATGATTACCAGAGTGTAGACATCAATACATCATTACATATTTCTTCAGTAAGTTGGGAAAATTTCCATATTTAAATGATCCTGCGAGTCCAAAGTTCATTTGTAACAAGAGATGATAGAATTGCACAAATTTTAGAATTCGTAAAAGTGGTTTCGCACAGCGCATTCAGAACTTACAGGGAACATTATGGATACGGGAGAACCGGAAGAACAAATTCAACTAGCTCACTGTTAAAAACAGTTGCAGCTTTGAGCTAGTACTTCGCAGAAAGTTATGCAACTACAATATGAGGTCAAGTTGAAATACATCTTACTCTGATAGATGGAAACCGTGAAGAGAGCTTCAGAAGAGCAACAGCCATGATAGGTTGAGTCATCATGTCTGCAGAGTAACGGTTAAGACCGAGCAACACAGCATCCTCAAGTTCATATTTGTTGCCTGGACAAGTTGACATGTTTGGCATGATGCCTGACAACAATACCATACAAAAGAAATACTACCAAATGAAATATTAGCCCTGCAAAAGTCCATGGTACTGGGAGCCGATGCCCCTCGGGGGCTGACCAAGCACCATTAGCACAACTGGTGCCTAACTGCCCCACATTGAGCCCAATAAACATTTTTTATGACCAAAACGAATGATTGTAAATTTCCATACTTGATTGCACCCACCTAACTAGTTGTTCTACCCACAGTGCATTTTATTCATCCTAATACAATTCTCTTGAACTAAATGCCAATTAAATAAATGTTTTGCACAGTAATCCTGGAAACAATTTTTGAAAGTATAGTTCATGAAAGCAGAAAGGAGAATGACAACAATTGATGGTGGATCAGACTATAATGTGATTTGAATATGTGCTAGTTTTCGGAGTAGTTGAAACTTGAAACAGAGCAGTGCAAAATGAAAAACACCACCAGTCTTGCAACAGGCTAGTATATTTCAAAAATCACCAGTCTTAACCATGTCAGAGTGCACAAAAAACGCTAATTACAGGATCCATGTAAGCACATGTGCTAGCTTTCCAGTGATATGGCAAAAAAATGTCCACTGCATGCACATTTCCCCCAGCAAAACAAAACATGCACATCCCTCTTCATAAGGTAAAATTGTCCATCACATTCAATATCCCAATTCACAGCACCATGCAAGGTTCGACACCTAAAAATGTCTATTGACCATCCTCACTGCTCCGCACCATCCAGTATGCTCCTAACTTTGTCGATGGAGCTGCACACATTAACATACTATTAGACCGTTTACGTGCACAATGGAGGGGGTGAGGGAGATAATGAAAAATGTATACAGACCTTTTCGGCAGATTAGGTAAGAGACTCTGGACAGCATTTATCACAATGTCGCCTTTTTGGTTCTCCGCTTCAGGATCTATGGCAAATAAAAATCATTACCCAACATGGGGATTGAAAACTGAAAAGAGAAATAATAAATAGAAAAGTTCTACTGGTGGTTCACAATGTACCTTGAGGATCTTGAGAATTAGAACTGCCTCCAAGATAACATCCGGTAAGTTCATCAATCCCCTCGTCTTCAGTCAACATGTTTTTAAGAATGTGCCCAATAAGCTCATGTGCAATACTTGCAGTGTCATCACATAATGCAGAGAGATCTTCTGCAGAGCATCTAGTCATCTCCACATTGTCCTTCTCCGAACTAGGATCCATCGTACTGCCAGCAGCACCACTGTCTCCATAATGTCCAGCACCAGCAGTGTACTCAGGATCTTCAGTGCTATTGATCATGAAATTTGAACAGCAGCCCTCATCCATGCGTTGCTCAGAACGAATATCAAAGTAGTTGCTCGTGGTGAGTACAAAATCATTATCTTCACTGCACCTGTCACTCTCTAAGCTAACTTCGTCATCGCTCGAGTTTTCTTCAGTGGCACCACGTACCAAAGATCTGAGGCAACTGCTTAAATCCAAGACAGCATCTACTTCCACTTCCTTTCTCTCTTCAGTGAGAATAGCTTGTTGACATTTAGGAGACATTTGAGCTAAGAAACCAATGGCACGTACTGCCAAATCCGGTAAATTACCATCATCACACTCAAACAAGCATTCTGTCAAGTACCTCCTCACAGCTGCTTTGAATGATGCCATCTTCACTTGAGAACCTTGGCCCATAATGCGACGCAGCAACTTCATATCATCAGTATCGACGTTTGGAAGTGACCATAGAGCATTCAGGATATCTTGCTGCGATGATATAGTCGCACGTGGAAAGGGAAAGAACTCTGACTGTGAAATAGCCATGCTCTTTAGTGTGAGTTTCCGATATAGGTTCATCACTGACAATGCTTTTGCAAAGTTCTCTGGAAGATCATTGCCTTCCTGCAGCTTTGCTATCATATTTCCACATCTTTTCCTTATCAAATTAATAAGATGGCTTCTGCTGGAAGTTCGAGCTACATGCAGAAATTCTGGGGGGCATGATTTTCCTGAGAGCTTTCTATTGATTGCAATAGCAGCTTGCTGGGGAATTTCATCCAGCCCAGCTAAAGCTTGGTCAATAGATGACAGAAGCATTGGTGAAACAGGTGTTCTAAGACAGACAGAATTAGAACGGTAGCTGCATGGATTTGTTAAAGTTTCAGACAATCGCATACCACTTTCACTGTCCAACTCAGCCAAGTATTTTGGAAGGTGGTCCTTCACGATTTTCATCATTGTAGGCCTAATCTTCCTGAAACTAATCCCATTGTGGGCGACAATATTAGCCACTGACTCAAGTGCCCCATTGCTTAATTTGCTGATTGTACAGTGCATGGTCTTCAAGCTTTCTGGACAGAGAGAGCCATCCTTCTGTTTTTGCAACTTAAAAAGCTCAAGACCATCCAGAACTACATGATGAATGTAACACTTGCTTTGCAAACCAAAACTTTCTTCGATGTTACATCTTACTTTCTCGCTGGACACCTGGAATAGACATTTCTCGATAAGATGCCCAGTTACTGTCATGTTTATGCTACATGGATGTTACTCTCAAGGATCAAATCAAGTGATCAAAATAAAATTATTCACCAAAAAGAAGTGATTACTATGAAATTGGTAGAGCTAGCAAGCATGGACTATCGATCAAGCAATAACAGTGAGTTAGACCCTTTTTCCTAGATGTTATCTCATCTCACACTATAATCAATCTGCTCCTTCCAATGTGACATGTTGTATATCCTTCCACAAGTGTAGTTATCTTGATGTAAGTTCATATGAAGCAACATATTTGATCACACAACATATTAAAACTGCTAAACGTTCTCTTATTATTAATTATTGTACTAGAAATATAATTATCTGTCATTCATTGTTATATAAACCTAACGGGTAAATAAGTAGCTATGCAAGCAACATTAATAAGGGGAGTAAAAACTGAAACTGAAAACTGTAAGCTGTAGGTTCTGTTAGAGTATGAATAACTTACTTCATCAGTCCTGACATCCGATTCAGCCAAGTAGCTGTAGAACAGAATTTTTTGTGGAGGGTTACTAAAATATTGATATGGGTAAAGTAATCTTATAAGTAGAGAAAACACGATAAATGGAAATCTGGTAGGTTTGCCATATTTTACAACCCAAGACCACATGGAGCTGAGGTAACTCGCTAAATCAGTGGATGTTGTTTTCAGATGAGAAACATGGGCCAGGCTATGGGTCATTTTTGCGCATACATGAAGAATGAGTTTTGCTCTATCAAAGCTTTTGGCACAAACTCTTGAAACATGGAGCCATGGAGGTAACTCACTAAATCAGTGGATATTGTTTTCAAATCAGAAACGTGCAGCTATATCAGTTGTAATACCGCACTGAATCTGGTTTAGAGAAGGAAATAACTGGCACAGATAGTAGAATACTTACACGACTTTCAGAAACTTTGGTCGCTTAAGTTTGAAGGGGACACCTAATTCGGGATTCAGCGAGGCCAGCCATCTTCATGCATAGATAGATGGAAAAAATATGTAAGGTACGGTTAAGAGGCGGAGGGGGCAGACATATAGAAGAGGAGAGCAAGCACTGCACAGACCTTCGCTTTTTCTTGATGAGACCTTGCTGCCGCAGAAAATGAGAGCACAGCCTGTTACCATCCTTGAAAGAGAAGTCGGCCGCGTCCTCTGGGTAAAAACCACACAGAACAATAGTTTCAGGTGTATAACATAACAAGAGGATTTTCAGCCACATCAGACTGCAATACCCTAGTTTATGTGAGCCAAGGGCAACAATTTGGTGTATGGATGGTGTCACTTTGAAGTGTGAAAACTAAGTATTCTAAACAAGATGATATCAACAGAGATGCATACAACTCAACTTGGATGCATCATCAATTCAGCATGAGAAATGCAAGCATAATAACCATGGACGCTGTCAATATTTAGTGTTTTGCATGCAGATGATTGTTCTAGAAACACCATCACATTTTATTACAGTAATGAAATAAGTTGCAGGTATTGCACAGTAGGCACTATAGCAAGTGGAGTAGTACTGTTGTAGCTTCAGAAGAATGAAGATGAGATGAAATCACCTTCCTGCGAACCTTCCTGCGAAGAAAACATCTGGGTCCTTGACCTTCTGTATGCGGCCTGGAAAATAAGAATCATGGAATAAGCTTTCGGTAAGGAAGTTAGGATGTTGTTACAAACGAAAACACAGATGATTTCAGACATCAGGAGGGGAAAATGAGAGACTGCGGCCTGCTAAGTGCTAAGCTGCCCTTGGTCTTCTAACACAAATCGACTTTGACCCGGGTGGACAGATGTCATGCGTGAGCTGTGCACACGTACCACCATAGTCACCAAATTACTTTCGATTCCAGCAATTGTATATAGAGTTTTTTTTTAGAGAGATAACAATTGCATATAGATTACAGAGTTCATCAACAAGAACAAGTAGTAATGTTGGAGCGCCAAACCTGCACCTAGTAACACCGAGAGAGGATGAACTCTGCAGCCGCCGAAGAGCTCCGTCGCCGTTGCCCTAGGGCCTAGGTCGAGGTCGGCCGCGGCGGCGGGGAAGCGAGACAGAGCAGCCGCCGCCGGCGGAGAAGCGAGACAAAGCAGCCGCCGGCGGCGGAGACCGGATAGGGAGGGGAAGAGAAGGGATGGTGAGGCAGCAGCGGCGGGGAAGCAGATGGGAGATGGGCGGTGGCGGAGGTGAAGCGAAGGACGGAGCAGCGGCGGCGGCGGCGGAAGGACGAGCCCAACGATACAATTTTCACCAATAGATTTTTTTTTTCTCGCGGGGAATAGAAAAAGGTTAACGACTCAATAAGCAGATTTCTTTTTTTTTAGCAGAATGTTTTCTTTTCTGGGGCTTAGCGGAATGTAGTTTGTACGTACAGTATTTACTCAACCTGGAACAACATGGTCAGTGTTACAAATATTTGTCCAATTCACGCAGCATATCTAGGTTTAGTACGGCCGTAGTTAGCCATGAAATCACTGGCACGGTTCTGCTACATCTGACGTGAGTAATATAGACTACTCCCTATGATCCGAAATATAGATGTTTAACAAAATTCTAGTCAAAAAAAAATTGCATTGCGAAATTCTTCGACTTTCCAATTTTGCCCTCGCTCGAGTCGTGCACGGACAGCACGCTTCGCTTTCTTCCTCGTCTCGCTCACGCTCCCCCACCGCACCGCGTCGTTGCCGTACCTGGAGACAACGGATCCTGGGTGTCAGGCTCCTCCTTCCTTTCTCGTCTCCCTCCTTCCCTCCCAGCACACACGCGCACATCCCATGGTTCTTCAACCACTCGCCGGCCAAGAAGGAAGGGTAGGAAGAACGAACTGAAAACCCTGGCTAGACGGCTGCGACGGGTAGGAGTCAGACGTGCTTTGTTGTGGGCTCCGTCGGCTCGTTGGCATCCATTTTATGGGACGCGCGGGGTCTGTCGTGCGGCTTGTGGCCTCCTTGCACTCGGAGGGCAGCGGCTCCGGCGCGGCCTCGGATCGAGCTGCGACGGTGAAATGAAGGAAAGAAGAGGGGAGGCGGACGGGATTGTGATTGGGAGGAAGGCGCGAGCGCCCTCGCACGACACCTTCGCGGCCGCCGCGTCCAGGGCGAAGTGGCGCCGGCCGACGACGACACCCACCTACTCCTCCTCCGCGCGGGCGCGGGACCCTGCGGCAATGTGCCGGGAGCGGGCGGCGTTGGTCCTGGCGGTGGCGGACAGGCGGTTCACGCTGGCGGCGGCGCACGCGGCCTACTTTTGCTCGCTCGGCGCTGACTTTGTTGCATCTGCAAGGGAGCCGCTCGGCGATGGCCATGCAGACTGGTGTTTCCGACAGGTCACTAGGAGTACTTTTGTACAATTTACTATGTTTGGGGGTTGTCGGAAAACTCTCCAACGTCTTATATTTCAGAGCACTTTAATTTCACTTAAAATAAAAGCAAACGAGATATGCCGTCACCAGTTTCTGAATAAGCGAAGCTGCCTCCACGCTATAAATGATGAAGCCCATCAAGGGCGCAACTCTGTGTTGGTCGACCGGCACGAGTATTCGGCCGGTCCACTTTCCCATCGTGCGATTAACATGCTAATGGGCGGTTGGATTTGTGCCCCCTCACGTCATTTCTTACGTCATGTTCTTTGTCTCGCACACAACTGGCCCCGCGTGAGCAGGCACGAACACGTCACGCAGATCGCAGCAAGACTAGGGTGTTATCGTGCATCAGGTCGCCTCCGCCTCGCAGCGAGCTCCTCCATGGAGATGTGCAATCTCTTCGGACTCGCACTAGGCGGAATGGCACAAACTTGGTTTTTCAATCAAAAAAAGGAGGAACTTCATCTAGTCATGGGAATGCCTTCAAGATGTCTTCATCACCAACTTCCGATGAAACTACATGCAACATCTACTATCGAATAGTTCTTCTCTTTTCGACAAAAGCAAGGAGAATTTTTTCGAACTTGCTTCAAGATGTGAAAACTAGCTAGATCGTTGATGCTATTAACACAACATTCATCACTGTTGTTAGGGCATTGTTTTCCCCGGTTTGTTTTGATGATTGATGACAATACGTTTGCGGACTAATCATGTGCATTAAGCTTTTCAGGTTATCTAATATAAAGGCACTATGAGATTGTTACCCCTCGAGGACTTCACTTTAGACGGATTATTTTCCTTCGTTTCTTTTCGGTGGAATTGAGTCGTAGGGATAACCGTACTATCAAGAGGGGATCCGTTTCGGAAGAGTATGGGTGGAATCGTCAGTTCACATTCTCCTTGCACCCTCGCTTTCTTCCTGCTTCTTTGAAGTTTCCGTGATGTGCAAAACAAGGGGTGCTATGTGCTAAGCGATAGTACCGCGGCCAGGGCGGTAGTACCACTTGTTAGTGCCGCTGGTACTACCGCCCCTGCTGTGGTCTCGTTTTTCGTGTCGGGTTTCCGTAAAGGACCACGCAGGGGAGCGGTAGTAGGAACAGTAGTAGGTCGCGATAGTACCGCTCCTACGTCCGCTCCAACTGTCGCTTAGCTCGCTGCCCTCCCCTGTTTTCCAGCGGCTGTAGGGAGCGGCAGTCCACTTATCGGTGGTAGTACGCCCTCACAGCGGTAGTACCGCCCTAGTGCATGTACTTCTTCTCCCTCAGCCCTGGTTGCCTTATGCTTGCTTGCCACAGCGGTAGTACCGCCCAGATGCGGGTTGCGGGCTGCATAACGGTTGGATGTGTCCCCCCACTATATAAAGGGGTCTTCTTCTCCAAGAAGACTCACCTCTTCCATCCCCAAGCTCCATTTTCGCCCGATCTCTCTCCCTAGCCAATCAAACTTGTTGATTTTCTAGGGATTGGTTGAGAAGGCCCCGATCTACACTTCCACCAAGAGAAATTTGATTCCCCCCACTAATCCCTTGTGGATCTTGTTACTCTTGGGTGTTTGAGCACCCTAGACGGTTGAGGTCACCGCGGAGCCATAGTCCATTGTGGTGAAGCTTCATGGTGTCGTTGGGAGCCTCCAATTAAGTTGTGGAGATTGCCCCAACCTTGTTTGTAAAGGTTCGGTCGCCGCCTCCAAGGGCACCGATAGTGGAATCACAGCATCTCGCATTGTGTGAGGGCGTGAGGAGAATAAGGTGGCCCTAGTGGCTTCTTGGGGAGCATTGTGACTCCACACCGCTCTAACGGAGACGTACTTGCCCTTAAAAGGAAGGAACTTCGGTAACACATCCTCGTCTCCATCGGTTCCCCTTTTGGTTATCTCTCACCTTTACTTGTGCAAGCTTTATTGTGCTCTATCCTTGCTTGCTTGTGTGCTTATTGTTGTTGCATCATATAGGTTGCTCACCTAGTTGCATATCTAGACAACCTACTTTGATGCAAAGTTAAATTTGGTATAGAAAAGCTAAAAATTGTTAGTTGCCTATTCACCCCCCCCCTCCTCTAGTCAACTATATCGATCCTTTCAATTGGTATGAGAGCCTCGTCTCTTTATTAAGGACTTTCTCGTCCGAAGAGTATGGTTGACACCATAAACGGTGAGGAGGAGCACCCTGGTGTGAATCCATCCTCGTCTATGGCCGATGGGGGAACCTCGGTCTCACATGAGGAATTCAATGTGGCCTTGGACACATTGAAAACATCCATGACGGCCGAGGTTAAAGGCATGCTTAAAAAATTTCTTGATGGTCTCAAACTATCCACCGCACCATTGGAAGTGGTTGATCCCACTACCAAGGTGGCGGATGCCAACTCCGATAAGGGGGAAGCTTCTAGTGAAAGAGTTCCTTTATCTAGTGGTAAAAATGGAAATGGAATGTTTGCCCATGTGGAACATCCTCTTACCTATGGAGGACCGATTCCCTCTACTCATTTAAATCATGCCGGCCCTCCTCCTAAGATTGTGAAAAATGAAGATTTTGATGCTTGGGTCTATCGCTTTAAGCGTCATTTAAAACATGTTAACACTAATCTTTGGAGAATCATTGAAGAAGGTTTCTATTCGCATGACCCAAGCAACTTCACCCCAAGAGAAGCCGCGGATAATCAATTCAATGAGAATGCTCTCTTCATCCTTCAAGATGCAATTCCACCCGAAGACATTGCACATCTCCGACCATTCACTGTGGCCAAGGAAGCATGGCACCATGTTGTTTCCCTCTACAAGGGAAGCGCTAGCATTCAACGCTCCAACTATGAAGTGGTGCAAGATGAAGTCCATGAGTTTGCAATGAATGAAGATGAAGAACCTCGTGTGCTTTATCGAAGATTAACCACTCTCGCGGTCTCACTCCGAGATCATGGGAGTAAGGATACAGATGAAAATTGGATCAAGCGCAAGTTCCTCAAGGCCATGATGCCCTACCACAAGGCCATGTCCTCCGTCATCCATCAAAGGCCGGACTTTCACACCTTGTCCTCAAATGAAGTGTTGGATGAGTTTATGGCAATGAGGATATTGGAAAAGACTGTCGACAATGCGGTGTTGCGTTCTCAAAGAGCAAAGAATCCCAGCCTTGCCTTGAAGTCCAAGGTTAGTGTGGAAGAAGAGGAAGATGAGGAAGATGAGGAGAGCAACCCCGAAGATACGAAATATGATTGTCATGAGCACATGGCTCTTGCTTCAAGGCAATTTTGGAGCAAGAAGAACACAAGGCCCAACTTCAACAAGAACAACTCAAGTGGCTTCAAGGGCAAGCAACGTGTGAGAACATGTTACAATTGTGGC